TTGTGGTTGTGGTTGTGGTTGTGGTTGTGCTTGTGGTTGTGCTTGTGGTTGTGCTAGTGGTTGTGGTTGTGGTTGTGGTTGTTGTTGTTGTTGTTGTTATTGTTATTGTTATTGTTATTGTTATTGTTATTGTTGGGCTTTTCAAGTATGAGGAAAAAAGATGGAAACAATAAGGAAGGGGTGCAAAGTGAAGACAAAGTGTCTTGCTTTCCCATAAACCTGTATAAATGAGGCAGCATGACTACACAGTAAAAGCTTGATCTGAAAGCACTCTATGGATAAAAGAATACAAATACCAGAGTCATAAAGACCAGTATTATCTTCTTTGTCTTAGCTAGAGAGCAGACCTATTGAATCAGCGACTGTAAGTCAACACTTATGTAAATCCCATTGAATTAATGGTCCATTCTAAGTTGGAACACACAATACACTACAGGCCAAAATGATTTACCATTCTGATAATGTTTTCTGTCAGAGAGAGACACACAGGAGCATTTCTGTGAATATCAACAAAGACAGAGTGGCTCCTTAAAGACTAACAAGCTTTATCTGGTGTAAATTTGCTTATACCAAATAAAAGATATTAAACTTTAAGGTCATATGGAGTATTTGTTGCTTTTGCTACAGCAGACAAGCATAACTATCTCCCCGAAAAATTTAGATGCCTTATTTCACTACAGAATTAGTTTCCTACCTACTTTTGATCGGACAACATGCCTCTTAATGGCAACTTAATTTCACAGAATAGACAAGACAGTTCAACAGACAGATTGCAAATACAGGACATTTCCTTATATCAAATCAGACCACAGATCCATAGACTTAGAATTAATACTAATGACCAGAGTTGAAAATAGGTTTTCTAGCTAAATGTGAGGCCCTGCAATGTTCCACCACTGTGCTGTCGAACATGCATGCAGGAACATAAGAAAGAGAAGGAGGAAGGAGAAGAAATCAAGCAAAAGTATGAATTTAGAGAAGGAAAATCCATGTCTTAAAAAAGTGGGGAGAGGTCAAGAAAAGTTGGACTATACGAGTTCATTTAGGGCAACAATAGCTGAGGTGTAATGGGTTCAAGAAGAGGGAATGGAACACAGCTAGAGATTGAGCAAATATAAGTGACTACAGCATTTAAATCCACCATGAAATAGCAAGATGTCAAGAGGGGAGGTTTTTTGAAATGTGTATTAACCACATATTGTTTATGGTTTACATTTATATTCTGCCTGCCCCAACCCCCATGAGAATGGTGTAAGACTTATCCTTGTAGGTCAGGACAAGATGTGACATCATTCTTCCCCTCTCTGGTATGGTTGGCAAGGATTTTCTTAAGGAGTGGGTTACAATGTTTTTGTGGGGAGAAAGAGAAAATTCACCATTGCACTAAATTGGCTGATTTTGGTGCAAAATGACTCCTGCACAAATTGAACACATTGTGCAAATCACCCAAAATGCGGATGGTTGCTGCTTTATTTAAGAATTTGAAGCAGGATATGGGTTATTGGCATCCTTCTTAATAGTCCTTGCTGTGAGTATATATGCTTTGGTTCTCAAAGCTGAAAGAACATGAAAGACATTTATGCCAATTGTGATGAGGGGGGAGAGAATTCTTTGTCTCACTGGCATCCGGAGCAAAGGGTTTCATAGAGTTTTAAAACTGGAAAGAGGAAACAAGAGATTGATTTCAGCTCATAAGTGAACAGCATAATTAAAAGTTCAAAAGCAATTTTTGTAAACTGTCTTAGTTCTATAAGGCTGGAAAAGGAGATATAACACAACAAAAATGACAAGTAGCATCAAAAGAAGCCAACTGTGTTTTGTTATTTTGGAAGCCTTGGCTTACCTCATAACCATAACCAACAGTTAGATTTTAATTCTTCTGCCTTCTGTGACTACCATAACAACAGTTATGAACCTGGCTGCCTCAGAAACAGCCTTTGCAGGTAGCTGTTATATAGTTTAGAATGAGAATATAGCTTGGAATATAGCTTAGAATATGGTCATGTTAGCACATTGTAGCCAGCTAACATAGGCCACATGTTGATGGGTTATACTTTCCTTTCAGTAATTTCAGCTCTTTCATGTGTATTAAGCCTTAAGGTCTTAACTTTTCCTTTCAGGTTTGATCAGGTGGAAGCCAGTAGCAAGGTTTCCATAGCAACCTTTGTCATAGGTTTGTCATATATTATACTGTATTGGAGGATATTCAGTAAATGTAAAGGAATATGGTTCCTCTACTAAAATGCAGCAATGCTTGTGGCAGAGGTTATTTTTCAGAAATGATGTTTCAGTAGGGCAGAAACATTTAGGTTAGGAAATTATTAAATTAAAATAGAGTGGGGAAGCACAAGCATATTACTTCCATCCACCCATGGAGCAAATCAATGATAACACAAAAAAGAAAGGGCAGAGCCTGGTCAGACAAAGGACATAAGGTTTGCTGGACCAAGCCGAGCAGCCAGCTAGCCTAGCATTTCTTTTTTTAAAGAACACCCAGCCAGATGTTGTGCTGGGAGGCAAGCACAATAGAAGATAATGGTCTCAAACTGTCATTTATCACAGCATAGGTGACCGCCCCCCGAATTTCATGGTATGCACCCCACTCTGGTCATTAGTTGCCTCTGGTCACCTGCATCTGGTTGTCAGTGCTACTTGAAATTAAAAAAAAAACTAATGGGGATGTGAAGGTGGATCAGCAATACATACTGACCTGATCAGAATCGTTGACTGTAATTTTGAGGCCCCTCAGGATCTCACCTTCTGGTGGATGCTCATACATTGTGAGTTCAAATCGGTTCTGTGGCCCATTTTCCCCATAGAATGTTGGTGGGTGATTGTTGAGATCAACAACCCTTATGGTTGCTGTGGCAAAGGCATGTGCTGCCTCTTCACTTTCCGGACTAATTTCTGAGGCCTGTAGTGAACAAGAGACAAAACTGTACTGGTTATTTCCAGCCTCCCTCCCTCCTCTCTCTTTCTCCCTCTTCTGTGTTATGTATGTTATTTTGTTGTACTCAGCTCTTCAAAGCTGCCACAAATGCTCCTGTGAGAAGAAATGCAGAAGGAGAAATCGCTGGTGCTGTTTTCCACGTGTAATTAAGAAGAGAGATAGTGGGGACTTCTGTTTCTGAGGACCAATTAACAGAGAGAACATGGAATTAAAAGAAGACAGACCTTCTGTTGTGGAGGCATGTTTGCCAGATTCATGCTTGGATACTTGTTGGAATTGGGACAAATCTCCTCTACTGAGGAAAAAAAGAAGCATCCAGTGAGCAATTACAGTTTTCAAAAAGCTAGAATTCCTTGTCCAAGCAGTCACATGACACTATTGAGCAGGGGAAGGGAATATGTGGTTCTCCAGATGTTCTCAGTCTAAAGCTCCCATCAGATCTAGCAAGCTTTGCCAATGGTGAGGGATAATGGGAATCTTTCCCTATCAGCTACAAATGGTGCAAAAAAAAATTACAAGACTTTTAAAAAAGAAAAGCATGTTATCAGTAATATGAAAAGCCTTAAATTTAGAATACTGCTCAGATTTTTCTCCTTCAATAACTCCTCCAGGTGTATAGTCTTATGAATCTAGTTTACTAAGTAAATTTTAAGAGCATTTCCTCAGCGTTCGTTATCTTTGGTAATGGTGATCTCTTCAATTGTTATAGATTCGGTAATAATCTACTCTAACAGTTATAGATTTAGTAATCAAAGAACTCCCATTCTAGACATAATTAAATGTGGCAAAAACAATGCCACTATTTTCTGAAACTGAACAGATGCAATGATTTTATGTACTGTATTTAGGTTGTTGCATTCATTTATAAAGATTTCAGTGTGCTTTTACCATGTTTCCCCAAAAATACGACAGGGTCTTATATTAATTTTTGCTCCAAAAATGCATTAGGACTTATTTTCAGCAGATGCTTTATTTTTTTCATGTACAACAATCTACATTTATTCAAATACAGTCATACAGTCATGTCATCTTCTGGTTGCTGCACAATGGTGGAGGGTGGGGTTCCACTGAATTGGGTCTTATTTTTGGGGTAGGGCTTATATTACGAGCATCCTGAAAAATCATATTAGGGCTTATTTTCAGTTTAGGTCTTATTTTAGGGGAAACAGGGTATGTTTTTATGAGCTTCTTAAAGGAAAAGTGCTCAATATATTTCAGAAATATAATACTGTATAGCATGCATTCAGAGAAAACAGTTGTGACACTGAACTAGAAAGTGCTTGTGATTCCTAGTTTAGTCAACCTGGACATTATATTTTGAGAGCTTGAATAAATAACAAGATTAATGATTTTCAAAATATAATTACAGCAAGCTTAGCATTTGGGGCAATACAAAAACCAAGGGTTAAAATTTCAGTGTTAACTCTGGCCTTCTTGAATGTGCTACATTGTGGGTAAAAATGATATTTATTTTTAAAAAATAATGAAATCTGGAATTAGGAGGACTACATCACTGCATTTCTGGTCCCATCTCTTATAGTCTTTCTAGCCCAACTACCTGCTTCTTGGCCCTATGTTGCCAAACTGGTTATTTTACAAGCCTCTTGGGTAACTCTGGAGACACTCCACTGCAACATCAACTTGCTCCTTGCAGTGGTAGTACTGGTTTTTAGTCTCAGGCTGATCTGTAACTTGATTCTCCAACTTGCCTATTCCCCAGGAGCTATACTGATCTGTCTGGCTTGATGCCAGGCATATCTTTGTCTGTCTTCCCGGAGTTCCAGAACTTTGCCACCTGTCTTCTAACTGAAGCTCAGAAAAGTTACTTTTGGGGACCACAACATTCAGAATCCTCAAATTACCATGGCCATTGCCATGCTGGTTCAGTGATTCTGTGATCTGGCTTGGGCTTTGCTCCTGGAACCAGTTCTGGCCCATGGTTCCAAATCTTCCTTGGTTTGATGTACCGTCAGATGGTATACTGTAATATAATAGGTTCTCTTAAAATGAATACAACTGGAAATAGAGTGCACCTTGGACACAGGTGAATAGAGTGCCTTCCAATGATATGGTGAACCACTGCTATGAGTTCCACACCATTGATTTGTAACGGACATTTATTGCTTTTACCACTCAATGTTCATTGTAAGAAGATGGTGTGCTAAGTCACAGTAACAAGGAACATCTTATAAAAGGACTCTAGGGAATGAAGCAGGAACCTCAGGATCAGAGGCTGGGTCTGAGCCTAACGAACTACCAAAGATGTATGCTTAGAGCTCTTTTCATGTGTGGGACCACACAAGGGCACAGTATACTGGACTGGCTAAGCTTGGAATAAATACTAGAAGCATATATCTAATATTTGCATTTTTATTCATTTTAATCATTGACTATAGTAACATTTTTTGCTCATGTTTGAAATATATACCTGGGCATTTTTATTTTATTTTGATAACACCTTTCTCTTAGTATAAGGACTTTTCTTAGTATAAGGACTTTTCATGTCATTGTTCTCACCTGAAATGCACTGCAAGTCTTAGAAATGTATGGACTGAAACATAAATTTCCAAGCCAAGCTATGTTCTGTTTTGGTACCAGTCTTGTGAGGTACGAAATGGATACTTTCAGGGAAATGTGAACCCAGCTGACTTATGTTCTATCACTGTCCCGTAAGAGTGCACATAAGTTTACCTATCTTGCACAGAATATTCCTGTTCAGATTTCTGTTTCTTTGCTTAAAGAGATTCAATTTTCCACAAATAATACACCAAACCCCCTCCTCTTTTTTGAGAGAGAGGTGGCAGACATGAACCAAATGAACTCTCTTGAAAATAATCTCAAAGCAGACCCAGTCAATATGTACCTATTTTCTACTATAGGAAGAGTGCAGTAAATTTTCAGCAATTGAAATTCTGCACAGTGTACATCCACCAGAATGAACGTGTTGAGACTAAACTTTTATTGAAGAAGTAGAAGACAAATACCTGAACCTTGAGTTCATATACTTCTTTCTTCAGCTGATTGGGGTTCCTAATAACAGAAATGGCTCCAGTTGTCTTATTTATTTCAAATGACCCTTCACTTCCTGTCACAAAACAGAAACACATGTGGTTAAGTCTATAGAATTTTCCATCTCCTTGAAAAAGAAAGACTTTCCTGGAAAAAAAAAGTAACATGAATGAAGGGCTTTATGCAGTACAATAATAACAACAAATCCATGCCATTAGGTCATATCCTACTTATGGCAAACTTTTCCAGGGTTTCGAAGGTACAGAGTACTGATAAGTGGTTTGCCATTACTTTTTTTTTATGTGCACAGCCCCAGAGTGCCCTCAGAAGAAGGGAATGGTAAACTACTTCAGAGTACTTTATACTAGAAAACCCTGAGAAGGATCATCATAACCCAGAATCAACATGATGGCATGTAATTTTTACTGTTCAGTATATACAGACCCATTTAATACTTTAATAATTGATTGATGTAAAACCTGTTAGTGACCCTTTGTGGGAGAGTTTCCCATTCTAGGGGGATCATGATAGGTCTGATACAGTGGAGCCTCGATTTACAGACATCCATACTTACAAAAATTTCGAGTTATGAAAAGCTCCAGATGTAAAATTTTGCTTCGACGTGAGGCCGGAGCTTCCACTTACGAAAAGAAACAGGCAGGGGAAAGGGCAGGAAATTCAAACCGTTGGTGGTGAAGAGGCTGCTTCTTCTCCCCAATGGTTTGGAAAAGGGAGGCTCAGCCTCCCAGGCTTCCAAAACCGCCCTGACCGCTGCGCCGGGTGCCGGTGCTTTGGAAGCCTGGGAAGCCGGCACCCGGTGCGGCAGTTGAGGCGGATTTAGAGGCGGGGAGGACAGGCAGAGGGCAGTGGGGATGGGAAGCAGAGGGCAGTGGGGACAAAAGGCAGAGGGCAGCGGGATTGGGAGGCAGAGGGCAGTGGGGATAAGCCGGCACCCGGTGCGGCAGTTGAGGCGGATTTAGAGGCGGGGAGGACAGGCAGAGGGCAGTGGGGATGGGAGGCAGAGGGCAGCAGGGACGAGAGGCAGAGGGCAGCGGGGATGGGAGGCAGAGGGCAGCAGGGACGGTATTTTATTTATGTGGGGTTTTTTTGTATTTTTTTCTTCAGCTGGATCAGATTACTTGGTTTTCAATCCATTCCTATGGGAAATGGTCCTTTGGATGCATATGGGCATGAATGGTCTACAGCAAGAACGGGGAATGAGTGACCCTCCAGGTCTTTTTGGAATCAAAATCCCATTGTCAACCATACGAAAGTTCATCTGGCCTTGTGAAAGACTAGCAGGGCCACTATGTCACACTTCTTTCCAAGAGTGTCACTGAAGACAGTTGGAATGATTTGGCAGAATGTGTTTTCAGAGACCAGGATGCTCTTGGGTTGGGCTCTCCAGGTCATTTTGCAGGCAAACCTGCCAACCCACAGTAGACCGAGTTTCTTTCTGTTGAACATCTTATGTCAGGGGTAGCATTTGCCTGACACCTCATTCTGGTCACCACTCAGGCAAAGCAGCATCTGCAATCACAGGCAAAGAAAAGCTGGATGCTTCCTGCTCCCTCTCCATTCACTGCAAATAGATTACCAATCACTGGGCAAAATTCTTTACACACCAGCATAAGTTCTCAAGTCAAAAAGTCTGTAAGTCAAGTCTCCATTGACCTACAGTGCATTGAAAACCGATTAATCCCGTAACAGGCCGTTTTTGTTCCATTTTGGTTTTTTTCTGGTCTGTAAGTCAAATCTCAGTCTGCAAGTCAAACCTAAATTTTGCAGCCAGAGAAGTCTGTAACTCAAAAAGTCTGTAAGTCAAGCTGTCTGTAAGTCAAGGGTCCACTGTACCAATCACTGGGCAAAATCCTTTACACACCAGCATAAGGTAAAGGTACAGCAGAACGAATGCAATGTGAGTTTAATTCAATTGTGCAATCAGTTGCTCAACCATTGGCAGTACTGTAACTATTCCAGGTGCAAGCATCGAGTTGCACCTACATAGTTAGGCAATTGGATTTTGCCTGTTGATTATCTAATAAAAGCTGCCTCCATATGGGCTTAGTTGTTACATTCACACTCAACAGGTCTAGTTTGCAAAAAAGTAGCTGTGCTAGTCTGTGCAGGAATATCTGGGGCTGACCCACAAAAACATTGTGGCTCCTTAACGGCTAACATACATCTGAGGAAGTGGACTCGACCTACAAATGCCCACATTAAAACATTACAGTAGGATTGGTTTTCATTTTTGTTCTTATCTGGATTAACAGGCCCCATATAACAGGGACACCGATACTTCAGCAGAACTTCTATATGCCATGAATGAAAGAAGCATTGGGCCTCAGCTCAAGCCTTGTTAGAAACTAGATGTGTAGGAAAGTCCACAAAAGAAAACAGCAGCACCATTATTCTCTCTTACTCTGTTTCCCTCACTCTCTAATTTGATGTCAATGCTCGTTTTTTAAAACTGTCCAATAACGTCTCATTTTGCTAATATCTGCAATAACTGTGACTTCATTAGAGGGCATTAGCCTCCACATTGAACACATATTGACTAATGTGGAGGGCCATTATCAAGATTCATAGGCGAGAAAAGTAAATCTTGACTACAACAGAAATCAAGTCAATAATAGTTTCAAGTGCTCATACATCATGATGCTGCCTAATTATTGTATGGAAATTGGCAATTCAGAACATGCCCCATCATGTGCTTCCTATAACAGAGTCTCTTCTGAAGTTAAATTTTACATCTGTGATTAAAATAAAAATGTGTGTCTTAATCATATATACAGAACAAGTGTTGAGCTTGGCTTTTACATTTGTAGGATGGAATGGGTGTGTGAAGGATGATTTAGAAAACTAATCATATATACAGAACAAGTGTTGAGCTCATTTGTAGGATGGAATGGGTGTGCGAAGGATGATTTGAAAAAAACATTTATTGCAATCTTGGCTGCAATGTCAAGAACCAAACAGCAATAAATTTTTCTATTTCATTGTTTGGGTCCATGTTACCTGTCGGAGCCCCTCTCTCCAAGGTCATGCTCCTGTACTATCAGACCTTCCCAGACAATGCTTCTCTGGGTTGTCATACTGAAGGAGGCCAGAAAACATTTGACGAGATCAGGCTTTCTCAGAAGTGGCACCAATGCTCTGGAATCACCTCCGTGGGGAGCTATGCCTGACCCCCCTCCCTTCCTAATTTTAGGAGGCTGCTGAAGATGCTCCTCTTTCAAGAGGCCTTCCGTGGCAGTCCCTCTCGAGTCTTCATGACCTGCACTGCTGCTCTGAAATAATGCACCATCAAGGCCTAATGTTGGCCTCTTGTAGTTTCCTGTTGATTGGTTTTATATTTTTATTCGATAGGTATTTCTTCTTTTACATGTACACCACCCAGAACAGTGTGGTGCACTTATGGGGTGGTAAATAAATAAATAAATTTTATATTTATATTGGCCAAAATCTTACTGGCCATTTAGATACGTGTAAGTTAAATCAAATAAATCACAGTGATGAACTGCCACTAATTAACAAGGTATTCGTCTCAGTCTTGGTTGTGTGCCCTTTGTGCAACTGCACCTGCAATGCAATCATCACTCCATTAATTACCGGCAATTTGCTGCAGTGACAGTTCTGCATGCATAAATTACCAATAGGATTCTGGCCCCTATATGAAATTTGTTTTATATAATTTGGAAAACCATGCACAGCCATTTCTTTATTCTTTTAAAATAAGCACTGCCTCTTCCTGCTTCATTCAGATGGAGATAGATAGATCTGCCAGGTCTCAAGATTCTGGCTGAAACTTCAGGAATTGCTCTGCTTCTCTGGTTCATCCTTGCATCTCAGAATCTGAGTCCAGGAGAACTTGCAGTTTAGCTCACTGTCAGGGAGTGGTTCAGGCAAAATTATTATCATAACCAGCAGTGGTGCATTGGAAGAAAAGGATCAGTCATGCCTCAGGATCCAGTCAGCATACCCACTCATGCAACTTACAGTAAAGGCAAGGGGAATGCATGTGTCTCTCTTAGGAAAAGCCTGCCCTTCCTTAGGAAGTCCTTCCTTGCACTAAGAGTAGCTATGAACTTCCTCTAATTTTACCAGATAATATGCAGGAAACAGAATTTCCAAAACCACTTTAAGAATTTGATAAAAGACCAGGTTTGTTTCCTTAGATGTTAAAAAAAGAGAAATCATAAACAAGCTATTCTGTTAATTCAGAATCACACATGGCTTTGCTTCTAAATGTCTACACCAACCCTACTCACTTACCATTTATAAGATGGTAATGAATATCATTAGGTTTTCCTCGGTCTCCATCAATTGCAACAACGGTGATTACCTCAGAGCCCTGGAGAAGAAAGGAAAAAAAAGCCCTATATAGTGACGACAATGAACTAAAAACAGATAATCTGTGGTTTGGAGAGGACGAAGCTCACAGCTACTCAGATCATGTTCTGCTGGTAGAGGTACCACAGATAGAAAACGTTAATCCACACCAGCACAATACAAATGTTCCTTTATATGGAGACCAGTGGCATCCAAGATGGGACACAAAGTATTAGATTGTTGACAGATACTAGTAACATAATTTATATGAACTTTTAGTTCCAAGATATTTCCAATATTATTACATTATGGGCTACTTGATAATGTTATTGCCATCTGCTATCAAGTCACGTCTGATTCATGGTGATCCTAGTAGGGTTTTAAGGTATGTGAGATATTCAAGAAGTTGTTAACAACTGCTAACAGTCTGGTGAATCTCCATGAATGAGTGGGGATTTGAATTCAGGTCTCCTAAGTCCTACTCTGACACTGTTATTTACTTCTCTCCACTGGCTCTCAAAAATCTCTTTTTTGATAGGGATGCCAAATATTGTTCTCTCAAGCTCCAAAGAATAAGGCTAAGTACCCTCCTTTCTTCTCTGATGGAAAGCAATCCTGCACAAACTGTCAAACGGTGCTCAAAACATGATATTTATCTTCCTTTTCTTGCCCAAATGATGGTTAAACAGGCACCAATGACTGGACAATCATGATTTCCTTTGCATTTTGTGGGAAAGTGAATTCCATTCTTATAGCATATGAAACACTGTGGGGTTATTCCACTGCAGGTGGAATGAAACTCACTAGTGCGGTGTTCCCAACTTTGGGTCCCCTGATGTCCTTGGTCAACAACTCCCAGAAATCCTGGTGAGCATAGCTACTGGTGAAAGCTTCCAGGAGTTTTAGTCCAAGAACATCTGGGTTTGGGAACCACTGCACTAGAGGTTCCAGGAGTTGCTATAACCTCTGGAACCTTCCAACAGATCCCGATCATTTGGTTCTCATGAATTAGTACCTTTCTGTCAAAAACATTGTCTGTGAGGCATATCTTCTTTTGAGAAACCGAGGAAAAGGTCAGGAGGTCCTTTGCTTTGTTCTGAGGAGAAAATTCAACTCAGTGCAAGTCTGCGGAACAGGTATGCCCGCCCACTTTGGGAATGCTATTATTTATATCATGCTTGAGAGACTTATAGTCTAAATGTTGATGGGAGGGAGATAACACAGTCATATAAAGGAACATCAGAAATGATTGAAGAAACCACTAGCTACCCAGGTGAGTCACTATATTGATCTTTCATCCCATTTGTGGCCAAGCAGAGGTTGGAAAAGGTGGGGATGAGGGTGGGAATGTTGGAATATGAAAAAAGGAACTCTTGCATCTCCTTCTGGATCAGGGAGATACCCTACCCAAATAAATGCAGTCCTACTCATTGGGAGGGGATGGGGCAAAAGGCTGTGAGATTCACATCAGACGGTTTCCCCTGAGAAAATTTCTTGCAATTATCTGAAAAGCTTCTAAGAACATTTGAAAATAGTCAGAAGGCGCAATATAAAAACATCCCATGTCAGTGTCTAAGAAAATTATGTAAGAGATAATTTTTTAAAAAATGTTGGATATGGAAAAACACAGCACCACCCACTCAATTTGCAAGTTTTAATGGACCACATCTGGTTCTGTAAATAACACTGTGGCTGGCAAGTGTACTCTGTACTCTGAAGAGTTTCCTGTTATAACTGAGTCAGGAAAGATGCAGCTATTTCCATCATTATAATGTGGGAAAGTGAATTCCATTCTTATAGCATATGAAACACTGTGGGGTTATTCCACTGCAGGTGGAATGAAACTCACTAGTGCGGTGTTCCCAACTTTGGGTCCCCTGATGTCCTTGGTCAACAACTCCCAGAAATCCTGGTGAGCATAGCTACTGGTGAAAGCTTCCAGGAGTTTTAGTCCAAGAACATCTGGGTTTGGGAACCACTGCACTAGAGGTTCCAGGAGTTGCTATAACCTCTGGAACCTTCCAACAGATCCCGATCATTTGGTTCTCATGAATTAGTACCTTTCTGTCAAAAACATTGTCTGTGAGGCATATCTTCTTTTGAGAAACCGAGGAAAAGGTCAGGAGGTCCTTTGCTTTGTTCTGAGGAGAAAATTCAACTCAGTGCAAGTCTGCGGAACAGGTATGCCCGCCCACTTTGGGAATGCTATTATTTATATCATGCTATCAATGTGGAATTTTATACAGAACACCTCCTACAACAGTCCGACTCTGGTCCTACTACCGGACAGAATGAAATGGCCACCTGAGGCCCAGTACCCTACAGGGAAGCAGCAATGGCAGCCCCTGCCAGCTCCTCTTCAGAATCCTAACCCCTGGAATTGTTTTTCTCTTAGTTACAGTTGAGTGGGGCACACCACCTTCTTTGTGCCTCCTGAAGTAAGCTGCTGCTCTCAGATGTAGTGGTAGAATCCTACGGGTGTTCACATGGGTTCTGCATAACTTGCTGTGGCTGTGGCTAACTGGCAAGACAACAGGATGCACCTATGTTGGGTGTATGACTAGGCACCCTACTATGACATCAATTAGCTGTAATCAGCTATGACAAGTGACACATACTTTACCAATAGTTTTCTGGGCATCACTGAAATGGCTCTGTTTCCAGTCTGAATGTGGTTTCTGAATGTGTAATGTGTCACAAAGGAATGTGCCATCTTATCGTTTGCCTCCTAGGCAGGGAAATTCTTTGGCCCTTCACTGAGAGACTTATAGATTAAATGTTGATGGGAGGGAGATAACACAGTCATATAAAGGAACATCAGAAATGATTGAAGAAACCACTAGCTACCCAGGTGAGTCACTATATTGATCTTTCATCCCATTTGTGGCCAAGCAGAGGTTGGAAAAGGTGGGGATGAGGGTGGGAATGTTGGAATATGAAAAAAGGAACTCTTGCATCTCCTTCTGGATCAGGGAGATACCCTACCCAAATAAATGCAGTCCTACTCATTGGGAGGGGATGGGGCAAAAGGCTGTGAGATTCACATCAGACGGTTTCCCCTGAGAAAATTTCTTGCAATTATCTGAAAAGCTTCTAAGAACATTTGAAAATAGTCAGAAGGCGCAATATAAAAACATCCCATGTCAGTGTCTAAGAAAATTATGTAAGAGATAATTTTTTTTAAAAAATGTTGGATACGGAAAAACACAGCGCCACCCACTCAACATGCAAGTTTTAATGGACCACATCTGGTTCTGTAAATAACACTGTAGCTGGCAAGTGTACTCTGTATTCTGAAGAGTTTCCTGTTATAACTGAATCAGGAAAGATGCAGTTATTTCCATCATTATGATAATATTTTTTGTTATGGGTCTCGGAGTAGAGGTAATTAATGGTTAATTACCCTTGATTTCCTCAGTGGATTCCATAAAAACACAACATACTTAATAATTATGAGCCTTTCCAGATCATTGGCTAGTAGCAGCACAAGGCAAATTATTATGTTTCATAATTTTATAGCATCTTTTATTGCCAAGGATTACAAAGTGCATGAAAAACTATTCCAATATTCCCAGAAATCATTCTCTCCTGCCCTCTGACTCGGCAGGCTGCAATGATATATGCAGTGAAATATGGTACCAGGATATTGAAATAACTACTGAACAAGGCTAAAGGTGGCAGAGGAGGGGGCCTATGTGAGCACTGGCTGAAGAACAAGCTACAGAGTTACAGAGCCTTACGATGCATTGGCCACAGTTCAGAATAGCTTTATATCTGTTTGTAGTCCTATAAGCTAAACCAGGATTAACCACACCTTACGTCCTCCTGCAGGCTGACCTCATATTTCTGCTAAGGTTACAGCTTGTTGTTGGATGTCTTGTAATGGGCTGTTAGATAAGGCGGGAAACTCCTACAAGCACCAAGTCCAGTACTGGGGAATATTTCCAGCCTTTTCATGACACTCAAAATCTGGTGCTTGAGACAGTGATCTCACCGTGCCTAATGGCAGGGACATCCCTATTAAGCTGTGAAATAGCTAAGAAGAAAGAGGCCAGAATCCTACTGGTGTCTGCATAAGGTTAGTTTATTTTGCCATGGCTAATTGATGCCAGTTGGCAAGGTGCTGGAGCCTAGTCATGCATCCTGCTGCACAACCAAGATGCACACACATGTACCTCACGCCTTATCAATTAGCCACAGCAAGTTATGCAAACTTCCCATGAACACCAGGATTCTGGTCAATGAGTTTCTAATACTCACGCAACCATTCAATCTCCTATATTATATAGAAGTGATATCAATTTACTATGGAGGGGCAAAAGTTTCTTTAACAATATTTTTGTCAAAACACTTATACTCCAATTGCCTATTCTGTTCTACCTCTTTTCACTGGCATCTTCTCTTTCTTAATACTTTCTTCTTTCATGACATATATTCTACCATGCCGTCAAAGTACTTGAAAAAAAATTAATACAGTATAAATACATTGTGGTTTTGCTTAACATGGCATGACTAAACATGACTAGCAGGCAGAGCTCCAGAGATCACATATAACCTATTGGCTGGAATCCTCTTGCACAGTTAGGCAAAAGAAGTAACTCATAACAACGAATTGTTATAAGTTAAGAAATCTCTATCGGTGTTACTTACTGCACACCCAATTATGTGACTCAGCATGCAGCAGATAATGTGTACAGAGATAACTCGTGGCAATTTGCTGCTAAATGTACTCCTTTTGCGTATCTGTGTGACAGAATTTTGGCCACTGTTTTAAAAGGGAGAACATATATAACTATCCAAACTAGGTGTCCCATGGTGCCTTGAAAGCCTATCGCTTCAGGGTTAGAGTGCCCATCCTCACACCATTCTAGGAGGGGCAAGGGAGGGCATAAGAAAAGTGGCAATCATCGTGTGACTGTGCACGACCATAGGCCAATTCTGTATTGGGAAAGTTACTTTCTGGTAATAGAGCTGTAAAAATAACCCATCAGGCATGGACAAGGGATGGATAAATGGTGTGTTCCATTTGTTGTAAAATTTTCATGGCTTTGGTAGGGTACATGTGACAGTAGTAATACTCACCGCCATAGTATCTTCATAGACATATCCATAATAGGGAGTGCCAACAAACATTGGAGGAGTGTCCTGAACATCTTCCACATTGATAGTGACTGTGGTTGTGGCTGAAAACACTTTGTTGTTACCACGCAGCTTCCCACCGCCGTCCTAGGATGGAGAACAGTTGCGTGATCATTAGGTAGAAACTGAACTGAGCAAAAATAGCTCCTCCCCCCCCTCCCAATTTTTTTCAGCTCTCCTTTTTAGAGGATTTCATTCCTTCAAAAACTACTTGGCTAAATGCCCTCCCTCCCCAGTTTCACAACTTGTCACCAGGGTAGAGAATTTCAAGCACAATCATGGGTCCAGTTTTCCTCTGGGTAATACTTTGGCTGTATTTTTGTTTTGTTTTAGATATATCCTGCTGAACTCCTGATTGATCCATTCAAAAGCAGGATTCCGCGACTGGAGGTAGATGAAGATCTACCAACATGACATGGTTTGAGTAAATAACCTTACACTTTTGAGATTATTTTCGCTTCAGCCAGTAAGTAAGTATTACCCAGTTTAATTTCTGCTGAGATTTTTTAAAATAAACCAATGACACAAAACTAGGCTCCATCTTTGCTAATATAAACACTGCCATGTTTCTCTTCAATTTTGTTTTCTACTTCCCAAGCAACTTCTAAGTTTCGCCTAAGGTTGGAAACAATCCAAAACCTCGATTTTATATTTTGCTCTCTCTCTCTCTCTCTCTCTCTCTCTCTGTGTGTGTGTGTGTGTGTAATCAACCTTTACATGTTTACAGTGCTAGATGGAACATGAGAACTGCACAATGCCTAGGGAAACCAAATCCTTTTACTGTATATAAGCACCTCATTCTCTACTCTATTTTAAGACTCCAAATTTTCATTGCCTTCAAAGCTTCCCTACCATATCTGTATCACTGAATAAGATGAAGAGGCATGAAAATCTTGAAAGCTGGCCCACAATTTTCTGCATATTTGATTGGTCTTATTAGAGATGTTGCCTGACCATGGATCCTGGTGAGACTGACTGTGAACGCCAGGTCGCCTCTCAATACTTCCTTCTTCCACTAACCTTGTATCAACTGACACTATTGTTTCATTCAGTATTAATTTAGTCCAAACCTTTGAGACAGTTCTTTTTCCACTTTTATTTCTTTAGAGAATATTTGGTGAACATCCACATCCCAATTTCATCACCAACAAAGGGCATTTAAGAGACGTCAGAAACAGTGGAGAAAGAAAGGGGAGTTACAACTGGAGAAGACCATTGTCTAGAGCCCCTGTAAAATTCAGTGAATGAGACAGCAAAGAAAAATTGCTTTTTTTTTTTTGTATTATAACTGACATGCTTCTCTAAGCCAGTAAGGGTACTGCCTATGATGGCTGGGGAATTCTGAAAATAGCAGATGAACAATCAGCTTTCCAAGCTCTAGTCTGAGATGTGATGTGATAAAAGCCTTGTCTGGAACTGCTTTCTGAAGGAATATAATATTGGGATCTTAGTACAAACAAACAACAACAAAAACCATTTTCCAAAGCTCTTAAATGTGATGATATACTTTATGCAGAGGATAAAACCAAATTTATCCAGCCAGAATCCTTAAATAAAAGACTTAAGCCACTAATGTAGTGCTATTTTGGCAGTGTTGTTACTAAGGGAAAGTAGTAACACATTAACAGTATCTCCATGACACTTCCTTATGAGGTCATAATCACGGACAGAGCAGCAAAAAGTCCACATGGTCAACAGCAGGAACTGGAAGAGGATTGACTTCTGCGTGAGCTGCAGGCACAGATTAGGATTTCCAGCACTCAAGGAGCTACATGGCTAAGCAGACATCTGAGCCTCAAAGCTACATAAATCAGCAGATTATCAAGCAAAACCTTCAGTACTTACAATTACCATGTACTTCACAAAAGGGGCTGCAGAACACGGTATGTATTCCTGGGGAGACACTTACATCTCTAGGCTCTTTATGATGACTAAGGGTGCAATTGCACTCAGAAGCCAAATTAGAATTATTCTTGCTGTTAACTATGCAAGCTTTTTGTTGTTCTATCTTGAATTATGACCTCACAAGGAAGTGTCAAGGAGACTCTGTTAATGTGTTCTTATTTTTCCCTTAAAAACAGCACTGCCAAAAGTAACACCTTTAGTGAGAGATTCCACCTTGCTGTGATTTGATTCACAGACTGTTTTACATTTGAAATTGCAGTCAGTGCTCACATAGAGGTTGTGGATTGATGGACTGATTTGGGAGTTCATCATTGTAACATTCCCCCTTTATTAGGTCAATGGTTCATGTTTTGTTATGTAATGGTTCCTGCATATCCATGTTGCTGAGAGGCGGAGCCGAGAGAGATGCTATAAGAGGCGGAGTCAGAGAGTCAGGGTCAGTCAGTAAAAGTAATGGAGTCAGTAAGAGTGGAGTGTGAGAGAAAGGGACAGAGTGTGGAGTTTGGGGAATTCTGAGGAGTGATTAGAGTTAGGAGTGTATTATCAGATAGAAGATTGTTGTTACTAATAAATTGATTTAAAGAAGACATCCATGAATCACTATCAATAAATGTAATCAATAAACAAAAGTTATATTTAAAAGACCTTGAAGTGTGGACCTGAATCTTCCTGAAGCAATGGTGATTGAGTGATCACCTGGTGGCAGCAGTGTAAAAGAGGGGATTGTTTGCCTATATGTGCTCTGAAGCTTGACGGTCAAGCAAGGGGCACAAGGGTGAACGCCACAATAGGTGTCCAGCAGTGGGATATGAAGGAATCCAGTGAAGTCTGAGTTTGGCCTCGAAGAACTCCAGTCAAGCTGGAACGGGAATTTAAATTTAAGGAACTACAGCTCAGAGCGGAGCAAGAGACCAAACAAAGGGAACTAGTAAGCAGAGATAAAGCTGAAGCTGAGGCTAGACAAATGGAAATAAGACAAAAAGAGATGGATTTTCAATTACAGATAATACAATTAGAAATTTCTGCTCCAAACAATAACCTTAACAATAACAACAATGTTGGAGGGCGAATTATCTCAAAAATTGATCTTAAGAAGTTTCCCCAATATAAAAGAGTGGACTGTCCCAAATCTTTCCGCATTGCTTTTGAGCAGGAGCAAAAACAACTAGAAATGAGGGCTGAGGAAGAGATTTTACAGCTCAGAGCTGAACTGAGAGTAAAACAGATTGAATTAACAGTCCAAAACTATAATAATAATAAATCCAATCCTCAGGGGAATCTATCAAAAACAGTTGATTATATAAAAGAATTAAGAAACTCAAATTATTCTGAGGTAAAACTTAGTGGTAGAAACTGGGAGAACAATAAGAAGTCCTTTAATAAAAATTACCTCAGCAAAACAACAGGAACAGAAGGCCAGGGTAGTCTTTCCCCTAAATTGCCAAGGCCTAGCCCACCAAAGCAAGTAAATCCTGAGCCAAAGTTCATCAAATCTCCTCAGAATGAGAAAAAGAACTGTAAATGTTTTAACTGTGGCCAGCCAGGCCATTTACAATTCCAGTGTGTGTGAAATAATCCTAATACAGGGAAGAATGATAATCAAACCAAAAAGGTTTACTGTTTGAAACAAGTTGAATCCTCTGAGGGAAGCAATAAACAGAGTCCTGTTTCCATGGCCAACACAGCTTCTACTGATCTTGAGGAGGATGAGAGAAGGAATTACAAAAGTGGCAAGCCTGGTCATTTACAATACAATTGTACAAAAAACAAACCTAAAGATGTGGAGAATAATGGCCAGATCAAGAAAGCATACTGCTTGGGAACTGTGGACACCTATGAGGGAAAAATAGATTCCCAAACCCTAGAAGCAACCCAGGGATGCCCCAGTTCAGAAATAAACCATGAAGTAACAAAAATGGCTGATGAGGGCATTTTGAAAAACCTTAATGTTCCTTCCTGTAATGAGGAACTGATGGAAGATAGTACTTTGAAAGATGGTACTACACTAACCCCTGAACACCCAGAGAAATCTGTGACTGATAAAGACCAGAGATATGGAGATGGGTTGCAGTTGATAGAGCATGTTAAGAGTGCTTTTGCACTTACACTCTCACCAGGAGGCCTGGAATCTCCTACTGCAGTAGAATTGGATGCTGTAGCAGAAGGGAGCCTGGAGGGAGAGGTTTCTTTGGATACCCAGCTTAACAGTAGTGCTGAAGCTGATCTCATGCTTGTGAAAACTCCAAATAAAAATAGTTTGGTTCAGGAGCAACAGCAGGAGATTAGTTGGGTAGATTGTTTTGAAGCAGACACCAGTACACCCACTTTGTTGTCTCCTGAATACCCTGAAAGGTCTTGCCTGGGTAAGGAGCTTTTATATAAAGAAAAGTCCTTAGAGATGACAGAGTCAAGCTTGGGAAGTGCTCCTGGAAAAGAAAAGAGCTTGTATGAGGCCCAGGAAAGAGCAGTCTGTCATGAGGACCTAGTAGTAGAACTGAGAACTATAGAGGGGAGAAAATTGCTTTTGGCAGGGGCAGAACAAGTAGATCTTAAAATTTTGCAAAGCAAACCCCTACCTGACATATCCCAGAATAAAGAAACAGAATCACATAACACGTGCAGTGCATCTACAACCAACCAATAATTAAGATTGCACTTAAAAGACCCTCGCTTGAGAAGCTTAAAGAGACCCTTGATAGTGGTTCCCCACATTGTGAAAACTTGGTGATAAAAGTACCTGTGAGTAAATGTGTGAGTGAGAAGGAGAGGGAACTGCCTGTCCTTTCCCTAGCTGAGCAAGTGAAGCCCCAAGCAGGCTTAAAGCTGACGTCACTATAAAACGACCAGCAGACAACATCCTGTGGACAACCGAGTGGCTGATGACCGCCAGTTGACGGAAAAGGTTGCGGAGGAAGGAGCCAGTGGTCAACAGAGGGACTCCTGAGTGCCAGCAGTTGTGTCCAGCTGAAGGGGGCGCTAACATCCAGACCAGTCTTCAGCACACCTGGCTACCACCATGAGTTCACCTTCTCTACGAATGCTGTGAGCTATGGACTTGGAGAGGTGCGATGCCTTGCAGATGACTGTGGGAGTGGGCCTGTCTTGGACTTTGCAAACTTGGACTTTGCAAAAGAGACTCAGATTGTGCCTTGAAAGCCCAATGACTGATGGGGGTGGATAACTCAAGCTGATATTGTATTATAAATGTTCTGTTTGTAAATGAGATTAAAAATTGAATATCCATGGACAAAGACATGAAGAATGATACCAGGACTTTTATTATAAACTGAAATGGACTATGATTCACAGTTTAATTATTTATGTAAAAGTTTCCTCATTGTGATTTCTGTATGGTTGGTAATGTTAATGAAAAAGAATAATAAAATGTAAATGATAAGGTAAAGTATATTATTGAATATTAGTACATTGTTCAGAGTATAAGGAATGGTAATTGTTTAAATTGTTTAGAGTATAAGGAATGGTAATTGTTTAAAATGTTTAAAGTATAAGGAATGGTAATTGTTTAAAACATTTAGAGTAATAGGAATGGAAATTGTTATACTGAATGTGATGTTACCTACAGAACTGTTAAATGTTACATAAGTTATGCAATTGTGCCTGTTTGTTTAGGAGGAAAAATGTGTTTCCCCTCCCAAACAAACATATTTAAGGGGGGAGGTCTGTAGCGTTCCCCATTTATTAGGTCAATGGTTGATGTTTTTTTATGTAATGGTTCATGCATATTCATGTTGCTGAGAGGCGGAGCCGAGAGAGATGCTATAAGAGGTGGAGTCAGAGAGTTAGGGTCAGTCAGTAAGAGTAATGGAGTCAGTAAGAGTGGAATGTGAGAGAAGGGGACAGAGTGTAGAGTTTGGGGAATTCTGAGGTGTGATTAGATTTAGGAGTGTATTATCAGATAGAAGATTGTTGTTAATAATCAATTGATTTAAAGAAGACATTCATGAATCACTATCAATAACTGTAATCAATAAACAAAAGTTATATTTAAAAGACCTTGAAGTGTGGACCTGAATCTTCCTTAAGTAATGGTGATTTGGTAATCATCTGGTGGCAGCAGTGTAAAAGAGGGGATTGTTTGCCTATATGTGCTCTGAGGTTTTACGGGGCACGAGGGTGAACGCCACAATCATTCATACTGGATATGATACAATTTGCATTTTAGCCCACAGTCCCAGTTCTTTCTTTCCTCTGGTCCCACCTCTGCCAATCAGATTCGGGAACTGATCAGGTGTAAATATGAGAAATAATAATAACGATGACAATAAGGTAATAAACCCCAGGAGACATCATATCCAGAGTCCCTGAGGACTGTTTTGATAGACTTGGGAAAATACTGTTGATCTAAGGATGAGAAAAGATCAGATGTTACAAACTATTCTGGGCCTCCTAGATCTTACACCATTTTTGTTATCTGCAAGGATGCCCTGTTTTGCCTTTGGACAATCTTTCCTTTAGCTGGGCAGAAGGATAGTCAGGATGATATCTAATACCTTTGCCACCACAGTAACAAAGTAAGTTCTTGATTTTTCATAGTCAAGCGTGATCCCAGTTTTGATGCGAAGCACACCGCTGTGACGATCTATAGTAAACTTATTTGTACGGATATTCTAGAAGAAAAAGAAAGACAGAGAAATGAAGTACAAATACACATGGCTTTAAGAGGTAGGTTAGACATTATACGAATGCCTCGCGGGATGAAAAATCCACAAAACGAATGGTTTTTGCGATCGCTATGGTGCCTCGCAAGACGGTTTCTTCTATAGCCGTGCTTCGCAAGATGGGTTTTTTTTCAAGACCGTTGCCTCACAAGATGAAAAAAAAAGTATTTGTCTTTCTAGGTTCACATAGGATTGCAATGCAATGCATTCCTATGGGAAACTGCTTTTCACAAGACAATTTTTTCGCAAGACAGCGCTACTTGCGGAACAAATTACATTAGTCTTGCAAGGCACCACTGTATTGAGTTTTGCTTCCACCTGCTGTAAGGAGCCAACATTGTGTTATTTACTTTGAGAGCGTAAGACATGTTGTGAAATCAAGATCTATGGACTACAAATGATAACATTCCTATTTGGCACACTACAAAACTATGTGCCTTTTAAAAAAAAATTCAGGGGTAGGTAATACATTCATTGGGTCACTGAAATATCATAAACAAGTGAGTGCCAGAGTCATGCAGAACTCCTCTGTAGACTCAGATTTTTTTTAGCTATCTAGCTTCTGAGCTGAATGAAGCAAAGTGCAACAAGCACAGAATTCATTCTCACTGGCTGTTTTCATTGGAAATGTCACTTGTGCATCTCCCTGCAATCCACCAGCTTAGCATCCGTGACTCATTCTGCATTGCTACCTATATCTGCTACCTGAGCATAAGGCAGTGGCGTCTAAAAATGAAATGAATGTCTGGGCTACGACTAGGGTGGATCAACAGGGGTTTTGCCGCACAACACCAACATATTTTTTGGGGGGAGGAAATCTAGAGGTGAACCTACTACTGTTAGGAAAATAAATGGCAAAGTCTCCTGCACCTATTAACATTCCTTTTTTTCTTTTGAAAGTATAAATGTTCTCTTTCCTTTGGGTGGATAACACATTCTTTTCTCCCTTTTTCATGGGGAGCTGGCTCCCATGCCTCATGGAAGAGTGGGTGGGTAACCTGGAGGCCAACATGGCTAGTTACAGTTCTGAAGAATGGTGTTTTCATGGTAAACCCTAAATCCCATGATGTTTTCCATCTGTACAAGAGCCAGTCTAGGAACATTCTGGGGAAGGTAGAGGACTTCCTGTGAGGGATCCAACCAAGCAGTTACTCCAGCAAGATCCAGAGGAGCATGGTATAAACTAAAACTAATGCCCCAATGACTATGGGACCACTGGAATTTATACCCTGCTTTTCCACTAAAAGGTAGTACTCAACGTGGCTTACAATCTTTGCAAAATAAAATAAAATAAACACAAGCAAATGTAAACATGAAATTATTAAAATCAGATTAAAGCGACATTACTTAAAAATTAATTTAATTGTGTACAGTTAAAACTCTGAATGCATGCAAATTGAGCATAATGTTGCATAGAAGAGTAGTGATAGATTATAAACACAACATACTGTGGAGTTAGAGGGCATTCATTTAAGTATTCCCTTATCCTCCAGTAGGCTCCCTGCCATGAGCCTGTTAAATCTGGCAACCAGTCACATGACAGGGAGCCTGCCGCAGGTGGGGGGGTATGTTACATGATTGTCCTTCCACTCTGCATTTGCTAAATAGGAGACTGCCCAAAAGGTTAGCTCCAGAATGGCCATTCTGTGTTGAGACTAGGTCCTTTCATTTACAGGGTAGACTGGGCCAACAGCCTACAAAGAAAAGCAGAAAGACTGTTTTGGCTGATTCTCCTTTTCCATTGCATTTCCATGCTGCTTTGAAGAGCCCCTCAACCTTTCAGAGCAGCCTTTTAGGAGCTAGAAGGGGAAGCAGCAACCTGCAGGAATTAGCCCTGCAACATTCCTCTGACCTTAACAGAAGAACGGATAGCAGGTCGACATCCAGATTCAATGCAATTCTCATCAGCCCTAGCAAAGCCAATAAGGAGAGAGGTCTGAATTGCAGTCCAGCATCTAGAGTGCCCACAACCCTACATTAGAGGATCTAATTAAAGATGGGTATCCCTGTCCCAACTGGACCTAATGAGGGTCTGTCCCCCAGACCTGGATTGTCCACTCACATGTCCCAGTGCCACAAAGGTTCTTCTCTTCCCAGTAATGGCACCAGGAGCTCCGCTGTTTTCCTGCTTAGCTGGCCACCCCAGGCAGGGGGTGGGAAGACAGGTCTCGCTGCACCATTGCTGAGTGGACAGCTGAGCAGGGAGACAGTAGAACTCCTGGCGTCATTGGTGGGAAGAGCGGGACCTTCATGGCCCTGAGAGGCATCAGCGGATGGTTCGGTTCCGGGGCCCAGACCCTCATTAGGTCCAGCTGAGACAGGGATATTCATATTCATTTACAAATACAAATATCCTCATCTCTTTTTCTAATTCTAGATGCAGCTCAGTAGAGTAAAGGGTTGTACATTTATGGAGAAGTTCGTTTTTGACAGATTAAAACACTAGCACATGTAGCATCTCATCTCTGAATCTGTTGAAGTGGGTGATAGACAGATAGCTCAGGTGCATTTTTCTTTTTTCCTAGAGCTACATGTACACTGATAGGTTTCCTTTTTCTTTCTTTCTTACTCTCAGCTCATTTCTTACTTTCTCACCCTCCTAGCTAGTGGGGCAGATTCACATGACCTTTCTATGACAGGTAAGTGTTGAAACTGTACAGAGTTTGTACACAGCAGTTCAAGCATAGTACTAAAAACACATTGAATATGAATAGTATTCTCCCTTGTGTGTGTCAGTAGTTGAAAATAATATCCCCATAGCCTTGGTAAAACTTTGAACATATTTACTGTATAATATATATGGAGAAAAAACTAACAGAGCTTAAAAACATTTGGCTTGATACACACTTGTGTTTGACAGACTTATAATAGTTTCATGTATCTTCCTTATAAGACCTATCAACAGAGAAGTTATCAGACCAATAGTACAGACTCTGAACAAACAACCATAACAGATCAGACAGACTTTCTAACAGAATAAAAACTGCCACCTCTTATATATCTATCTGGCACTTAACACTTAACATTGACTAACACCAGAAAAAATCTGATTGGTTAAATAAATTAGAATATGTAAACTACACAACTCTAACATTCTTGTGTACACATAAGTATTATTTTTAGTTATTATTTATTTTATTTATAGGCTTCCTTTCTCCCAATAAGGGGACCCAAGGTGGCTCACAATATTAAAAGGAACAGAATTAAAAACATAAGTTAAACATTAAAAAATATTTAAACTATATGCTAATTAAAATACAATTGAATAATTAAAAGTAAGCATTCAAAACTATCTTTCCTCTAAAAGGGCATTCATGGATTCAGTCGTGGTTGTTAAAAACTTGCCTGAAGAGATGGGTCTTCAGCTAGTGGCAGAAGGATACAAAGGGAGGGGGCCGACCTGACCTCCTGAGGGAGAGCATTCCATGACCTGGGAGCTGTCACAGAGAAGGCCCTCTCTCGTCTCCCCATTAATTGTGCCTGAGGTGGCAATGGGACCAACAGGAGGGCCTCAACTGATGACCCTAATTGCCAAGAAAGACTCATATGAGGAGATACCATTCTTCAGATAATATGAGTCACACTTACATGTTCCAACAGTAAGGGGGCCTGCACATAACCAGTCCTGGAACCTTCTGCAACTAATTTTGCATCCATTCTCCTATATTATCCATGAATGGGTTTCATGAAGGATATAGACAAACTTTTAATTTGTTACCTAATTATCCTTTTTCAAAAAAGTTGCTCCTTTTCTAGTTAAGCACTAGCCTGCTTCAGTCTGCTACCTTAAATATGAAATACAGAGAGCGTTGGCTAGAAACCTTCTTTCTGATAGGTTAACTTTCTAGGAGCCATTCCTATCATGCCTTTCCTCGGACTCCTCCACTTGGTTCTACAATGACTTTGGGTACCATTCTTCAGTCATAACCCTCCTCTGTTTCATCATCACTTCTCCCCACGCACACCCATTCACATTGTGAAGCCTCCATTGAGGAGAAAAAGTCATGGTGCCATGACTTCTAATTGGCAGCATGAGCAGCCTTCCATTTGGAAACTCTCTACATGTAAAACATTTCTGACACAGCAGTGCTTCATTTCACTTAATGCACGAAAGTATTTCTAACCTGCATTTTTGCCCCTAAAATCTGCCCCCAAAGGAGTTCACTAAAAAAATGAAGAAAAGCACCATATACCCAAGAGCTTTTAAAATTAACCAAAGCTCAATCAGTAACACAAAACACAGGGAGAAACTGAAATAAGAAAGAGATGCTCCTCAAACTGAAGCTATAGCCTGGGTGAAATAAGGAGGCCTTAGAAGCTCTTTTCAAAAAAAAGAAAACTTGAAAGTAGCTGACTGGAGGGATTCTATGAGTGGCAGTCCTAAAAAGTAATATTTCCAGGTTCAGGTACAAATCAGAGATAAAAACTGCATTATCTACTTCCTGAACATAAGAATCTGCTTAGAGAGAAATTTCTTTTAAGAATTTTCAGCAAGAAAGGTGACTACTGCTCTGTTTCCCTTAGCTGTTCACAGTACTTGGCGCAGGGTTTCTCTCCTTTCAGTATTTTTCCCCTCTTAAGAAGATTAGATTTAATCCGATTTAAATATTTGTCCTTTCAAAAGCAGCTACTTGATTAGCGAGCTCTCCTGCATCTAAGGAAACAGAAAAATGAATTGGTCTACCTGAGATTTTTATTCCTTTTAAAAATACACTGTTTGGCTGGAAATCAAAGTTACTCATTTGTAAGATTTTTGTACTGCTAGTTCTTCTGATTCAGATAGCACCTTATGGAGCGAAAAATACGGTACTCATTCGTAAGATTTTTGTATTGCTAGTTCTTCTGATTCAGATAGCATGGAGCTTTCTTTGCAATGAAGTTATATATTTATTAAGAAAAAAAACTTGAATGGCTTCTTCTCAAGTATTGGTCCCTTTTCTGCACTGTTAATTCACTGAGACACAATAAGAACTTGGCAGTCCCACATGAATCAAAACTGGGATATAGCCAGGAAACAATGTCTGAACCTACAACAAGTGCACTTCAAAGACCTTTATCATACATTTAACTTCCTTTGGTGAACAGTATAAAAGTTAAAGAAACTGCAGGCACAAATATATCTACACAGTGGAGAGATATCCCCACTTGGTCTTCCCTTTCCCAGGGAAGGGGAGAGTGGCTTCCTGCACTGTAGAATGAACAGTGGTTGGAACTAGCATGTCAACATCTATTGTTGACAATCACATTAGAAAATTGTTAACCAAAAAACCCAAATTAATTCAATCATTTTTAAAAGATGAGTGAGTGACTTAGTTTTTATTTTTCCAGAACTAAGTATCTCCAGAACCAAGTTAAGGTTAATATTTGTTTCAGAGAAGCTACAGAGTGCAAAGCTGGGAGACCCCTCACAACGGATTGCTCAGAGATGGCAGAGCGCAACGGCTCCTCCTCTTTCTTCCTGAAAAGAGCAAAGAGAGAGAAAGCTGTTGAAGAAGAGATGTCTGGTCCCCACCAAGCCAGCTGGTGAAAGGGATTCTCATTTCACCAAAATAGTTCTTTGCTCTCTGTTCCCAGCATGAAAACACATTTCAGTCATGACATGGTGGAGAGCTATGAAAGGCAATGTGAGGTACTTAGAGTGCAGAACTATGATGCGGAAGATCCAGGTTCTAGAACCCCCATAGTCAAGAAACTTTGGAGTTGACTTTTGTTTTTAACCTCTCAGTTAACCAGATGTCCTTCACAGTATCTTTGTTTAGATAAACTGAGGAAGAAGAGAGCCGTGGATACTGCTGTGAGGTCACCGGAAGAAAGGTGATGTATACATATAAATAATGAAAAATTACTAATAAATAAACATTCATTTGAATTCTTACGGGAAAAATGCATATATGCATATTGAAAACTCTGGGCTTAAGTCTATGAAGCTGAAAATGAATAAAAGCACCAGAATCTCCCATTGGGAAGTTCTTCCTAATATTTAGTCAGAATCTCTTTTCTTGTAAATAGAATGCAGTGGTTCAGGCCCTTCCCTTTGGAACAACAGAATTTCTTTTTGCTCCATCTGCCACATGATAGCCCTCCAGATATCTGAAGATGGCTATCTTGTTACCTCTCAATCACCTCTTCTCCAAGTTAACATACCCAACTCCCTCATTTGTTCCTCAATTGCTGGTTTCCTAGACCCTTTACCAACATGATTATCTCCTTCTTGACATTTTCCAGCCTGTTAATCCTGTTCTTCTGAAACTTAGTTGCCTAGAGTAATTCACAACTAACAATGTACAGTATTGCCCCTTCCTACTAACTTTCACATGTCTAAAAAATTCTGAACCAAGATCATGGTATCATACTTACCAGGGTTGCTCAGCTTTGTTTCCACATTATTGTTATTTTAGCATCAACTGAAGGCTTTTTGTTTCTCTTAGGCCTTTTAAGATTTGTTGACTTAGCCTTTGCCATATTAATGGTGATTTTAGCATCTCTGTTTATTCTAGTTATCTTGGCCAGAACTTCCTGGGCAGAATATTTTAAGTGGCCCTCAGCTTCATGAATCTGTCAACTTTCTCATGCTTTTTTCCCCTTGCGATTTCTGGTTCCTTTGAACAATATTTACCTGTAGGAAGTAAGTAATGCTCCCCCCTGAACCTGTGTCTCTGTCCATTGCTTCAATCTTGAATATGCTGCTCCCTGAAGGAGTGTTCTAAGAATGCAAACAGAGAGGATGATCAGGGTTAAGAACAAGAGAAAAAAGAAATACAGAAAAACTGAGACTATGCCTATATATCAGCTGTTTTCTGCTATTCACTGAGCATCAAAATACTGTATATAGACTAAAGCTCATTTTCTGCTATTCACTGAGCATCAAAATACATAGACTAAAGCTCGGAAAGTACTTCAGGAAAAGTATAGGTAAAGATTATACCATTTGACAGACATGACCTCGGGAGAACACAGGGACCAGTTTCAATGCATTCTCATGGTGATCAATATGAATATGTTTGTGCTCTGAGGTAAAAAAACTTCTTCCAGTTTTCAGGAGAAAATGATTATGGGCAAATTGATGAGTGCCTGGGCTCCATCAGGATCCTGTCTCCAGATCCTTACAGCAAAAAATAATATCTACGAAGATTTCTTGAGTTATGGCAATTCACCTCTAAAAGTTACACTTTTTGCAAAAATGCACAAGAGCATAAATTTCAGCCATTATTATGAAAACAGGTAAGCTTTGCTCAGGTTGCATAGAATAAACTTGCAATCTCTCTTTAAATATTATATCTGTCACTGCATGGCCTTCTTCCTGCATAACTTTGAAACTAGAGATAAGCAGAAATGCTGAGTTCAGAAGAAATACAATGTACACAAATTTTGGTTCCAGATTTCTGTGGAAACTTTGAATATTAACATTCTACACTGGCCTGAAGGAGACAGTTCCATCTTCAGTCTTAGTCCCAAAAGTGATGACTGCAGGAGATTCCTCAGCTTTGGACACGAATGGCTGTTTCCTAGGTCTGAGAACGTGTTTCCAAAAACTCATCTTTCTTCATCTGAGTCCAGGGACAAAATACCATTTGTGATGGAAATTTGCCAATTCCAGTGGGTGGCCCAGGTATTTCCGTCTCTGGGTTGATCCCTCAGAAATCTACACTTAAAGTGGAACTGGGTGGTGACTGCCTTTTAAACTCATTAGAAAAGCAACTTGTGGTGCTGACTATATAACCTCCACTGGCCACATTCAGATTTACTCCACCATAGAGGACTGTAGCCAGACCTGGGTCTCGAGAGACTATGGTAACATGCTCTGAATAGACATCTTGGAACAGCATCTAGTGTGGCTGAGAAGGCCAATTCGAGAGTGACAATCCCTTCCACATTGAAGACAAATACAATCTGTCCCCTGTCCAGCTCCCTGGTTTTGCTGGTTTGGGGACTGTCTCTTTGCCTCGGCCTGCTGAACAAGTGTTTCTTCAAATTGGGACAGGTCATGATGCACCCCCTGCCTCCAGGCTGAATGCTCGGTGTCAAAGTTTCCCATCTGTTGAGATCCATGCCTAAGGCCTTCAGATCCCGCTTGCAGATATCCTTGTATCACAGCTGTGGTCACCCTCTGAGGTGATTTCCTTGCACTAATTCTCCATACAGCAGATGTTTTGGAATCCGACCATCAGCCATTCTCATGACATACCCGAGCCAACGTAGATGGTGCTGTTTCAGTAATGTATACATGCTAAAAGTTCCAGCTTGTTCTAGGACTACTCTATCTGGAACTTTGTCCTGCCAGCTGATAACAAAAATCCATCAGAGGCAACGCATATGGAAGGTGTTCAGCTTCCTCTCCTGCTGTGCACAAAGGGTCCAGGACTCACTGCAGTACAGGAGTGTGCTCAGGATACAGGCTCTATAGATCTGGATCTTGGTATGTGTCATCAGCTTCTTACTGAGCCATACTCTCTTTCTGAGTCTAGAGAACATGGTAGCTGCTTTCCCAATGCGTTTATCCAGCTCGACATCTAGGGAGAGAGTGTCAGGGATTGTTGAGCCAAGGTACACAAAGTCATGAACAACCTCCAATTCTTGTGTAGAGATGGTAATAGAGGGATGTGAGTCCATGACTTGTGTTTTCTTCAGGCTGATTGTTAGTCCAAAATCTTGGCAGGCCTTACTAAAATGATTCATTGTTGGTTGTTGTGGGTTTTTCAGGCTTTGGCCGTGTTCCTAACGTTTTGCCAGTCTCTGTGGCCGGCAGAGTGCTGTCCTCTGAAGAGTGCAATCCCCTGAACTGGCGAAACGTTAGGAAGAATAAATTTCAGAACACGGCCAAAGAGCCCAGAAAAACCCACAACAACCATTAGGTCCTGACCGTGAAAGCCTTTGCAGATTCATAAGTTGTTGGAGCTCTTCAGCAGAGTGGGCAACAACAGCTGCATCATCGGTGAAGAGGAAGTCCTGCATGCATTTCAGCTGGACTTTAGTCTTCACTCTCAATCTAGAGAGATTAAAGAGCTTTCCATCTGATCTAGTCCAGAGATAGATAAACGCCTTCTGTTGCAGTTCCAAAAGCGTGCTTCAGCATGACCGCCCAAAAGATCCCAAATGGGGTCGGTGTGACAACACACCCCTGTTTCACTCCGCTTCGGATGTCAAAGGGATCTGATGCTGAGCCATCAAAAACTTCAGTGCCCTTCATTTCCTCATGAAAGGACCTGGTGATGTTAAGAAGTCAAGGTGGACATCCAGTCTTGGGAAGTATTTCAAAAAGGCCATCCCTGCTAACCAAATCAAAGACTTTTGTAACATCTATGAAGGCCACAAAGAGTGGCTGTTTTTGTCCCCTACATTTCTCTTGCAACTGTCTGAAGGAAAATACCATGCCAATGGTGGATCTATGGTGGACCATGGAGTAACCCTACACAACCTGCTGCCCATTCACAGTTAATCAAGAGAATGAATAAATGTCACTGACCTCTGGGACTTGGACTATGTAAGGTGTGTTGATAAATTCTGGGCTTTCGTCATTAGCATCTGTAACAACGATTCTAACTTTCTCAGCCACCTGAAGTTGAACACAATAAAATTTTACATGAGCACAATGAATTAAAACAAGCTTTGCAAAGTGAATTAAAATGTTCCCACTCTTTGTGAGAAAAGGTGTATCAACATATCAAGGCAACTTGGCCAAAAACAAACAAACAAAAACAAACCACCTTTCATGTTTCATTCTCTACACAGCAAAGACTGGCAACTTGCAGCTGTCCAGATGTTACTTAACTGCAATTCCTTCACCATTGGCTATGCTAGCTAGACCTAATGAGGGCTACAGTCTATAAACAAATGAAAAATCAAAAGTTGCTGCCCAACCCAGTTATATAGGGGTACCAGTGATCTCTCATCTTTCCCATCTTTGAGTGAACCAGTGAATGAAGCAAAAAGACCAGAGTAGGATCAATATGGAGGGTAGGGAAGAGTATTAGGCTATGTCCCAGGACATGGGTTTCCTAGGGTTGGTTCCAATTTCATATGCTTATCAAGGTGAGCAAAAGGATCTTACAGCAGATCATCAGAGAACACAATCTTTTATTTGCAAAATAAGTGTGTGGGAAGCTCATTGTACAGCTTGAGGATTGTAACTATCATTTTCACTGCGTAAAATGCTACATGAATAAGAAAGTTTCCTGTTGAAATACTTACTGTACTTAAGCCATCTGAAATGCTGACAATAACTTCAATCTCATCTTCTCTCTAAAAACAGCAGCAGCAACAACAATAAAAAAAAACAGAAATCAATTGTTGTCATAGATGTTGCATTCTACGGCTTTTCCAGAATGCAGAAATATCACATTTCTAAAATGTTGTTTACTTAATTTTGAATGTGAGTAGCCTATTAGATCTAATACAAGCATCTGGTTTGGGTATTACATATTTCAAATCAAAAAAGTTACAAATAAGTTGAATGTTTGGATCCCCCAGTATTCTTCAGGCATAGCTATTACAAACAGTAGGGGACTGAAGCAGGAGCAAAGGGTCTCCCAAAATTGAAAAAATCTGGCGAAATCTTATGCCCCTACTCTTGAAAGTAGTGTGGTTCTTCTGTCTGAAGAAAACTTTCTGAGGAAAAACTAATAGCACAAACCTATGGACATCTAGTTAAACACAAATTGTATTTGTAAATAGGCTTCTATTCACCTCCTTAATGTATATATATATTTAAACAAATACATTGTGTTCAACAGAGCTTGTCACCACATGAAAGTGGTTGAATGCAGTTGTAGTTACTCCTGAGTAAAGAGTGAACTCAGCTGCACATTGACTGTTCAGAATATCTCAAGCAATTTCTGGAATACATGAAATACATTATAAGGGTCATCAACAGCTATGGAGTTTTTAGGAACAGTTTTGCTTGTTTGTAGGGATGGGTGTGGTTTTTAGTACTTCACCATCATCTACTGAGCTGTAACTTTTCCCAGCATAGTCTTGTGACAGTTCAGCAATTGCACAAATGTTGCTTTTGTGCAAACTGATCTCCATGAAGAAAACCAATCCTCTCTTTTGCAACGTTTGTGCAAATGGTGCTATGCTGCATTACTACACTAGTGTTCCATCCAGTAAAACCTCAACAAGACACTGACTATTATGTTTATTTAGCCAAAACCTTGTTAAGTTACACCTGTGAAAGGTTAATGATATCACTGGAAGAGGGAGATTTTTCAGTAATTAAAGACTTCCTCTTTCTGTCCTGCAGCTTATCCCATTCACAAGCAATATGTTTAATTATGTGGAAGCTGTGGGAACTATGAACTGAAGGAGGAAGTCTTTAATCATCAAAAATCTCTCCCTGCTGATGACACCTTCAGCCTTCCACAGATAAGTTACACAACGATTTTGGCCCATATATAACATGGTATATTTCAGCAGTTCCATAAACAATGTAGGCAGCTGGCAACAAAGCAAAAGAACCCAGTCAATAATATTTCACTAAAAATGAATTAAAAATAAAGCAATTACTTTTTTAAAAGTACAGTTGTTTGTCAGAGGTGCAGTCCTGTAAAAATGGATACAACCATTGTAATGAACTCATTTTGTACTCTACATTGCTTAAAAGTACAGTTGTTTGTCAGAGGTGCAAGTCCTGTAAAAATGGATACAACCATTGTGATGAACTCATTTTGTACTCTACGTTGCGTTTAGGCATCCTTCAGTCTCGTGAGACTATGGTAACGTGCTCTGTATGGAGGACTTGGAACAGTATTTAGTGTGGCTGAGGAGATCAACTCGAGAGTGACAATCCCTTCCACACTGAAGACAAATACAATCTGTCCTCTGTCCTGCTCCCTGATTTTACTGCTTTTGTTCCCTACAAAGGATGCTCCATATAACTGGTAATCTTATGAATGGCAGAGCATGGCCTAGGTTTTCACTGCAGGCAATAGTCCAGCTCCCTGATTTTGCTGCTTTTGTTCCCTACAAAGGATGCTCCGTATAACTGGTAATCTTATGAATGGCAGAGAATGACCTAAGTTTTCACTGCAGGCAATGAATACTGTGTCTGGGCTATACCATTCAAGACCTCGGGCAGGGTAATTAAATTTATACAGTATTTGTACCTAAATATTCCTTATGATACATAAATTGCCTATGCAGAATAAGACTAATTTTCCCTTTGAAGAAATGTTTTTGTATGGAGGAGCATCTGGTCATGGGAATTCCCCCCCACCTTGAAATTTTAAGAAGTACAGTCTAAATAGTGGGTTACCACCACTAGAGAGCTGCCATACAAAAGCCGTTTTGAAACTTGTCATTGTACTACAAACAACTTTAGTTCTGTCACACCATACCTCTCGGTCAAGTTCCTCAATCAGTGTAACATTTCCGTAATTTTCATCAACAGCAAAGTAGCTTCTTGATCCAGCTTCAAAGGTCATGCCATAGGTTATTGGATCCCCTTCTGGATCAGTTCCATTTAGAGTATATACATGAGTACCTGCAAGAGACAGATTTGGACATGTTCCTCTAGAAAATTTTGGCAGATTTTTGAGTCAGAAGGTATGTCAAAAGTCAATATGATTTTGTTATAGGAATAGCTACTTTTAATTAAGTTCACTTTTTTTGTAAATGACCCTGTAAGTTCCAGGTTATTTATATATAATAGTTATAATAGTTATAATTCCAAGACTAGAAACGTAGTTGGTTGTAGTACTTACAGTAAAAAATAATAGCATTGTTACATTTTGTCACATTTTAAAGAAAATCATCTGAATACTATTAACTGCTGCTGCCCTTTGGTGCAAAATTCCTTCACTCTGGTGTCGTCTGACATCCGCAGCAGAATACAAAGCACAGCACAGACCAGCACTTCAACTGTGTGATATTCCTCCACCACCACCAAGTGAGGCTATACATCCTTAACTATAAAAGGAACTGAAAAAAACAACAACCCACCATTGTACTGTATAAGTGGTGTTACCCTTCATTAAATTATGACTGCATAGTAATACAGCTGTAGCTTCAATATTGTAAAAAAGGAATACATACAAACTTACTAGGGGTTTTTAGAAATAAATATTTCTAAGGGACAACTCTTGGTGTATGTAACTTATTTGGAGGTAGCAGCTACCACTTAAGTGAGCAAACGTAGACCCTGAATATTGCTGGTTGGATGGGGTTAGCTTTTAGTAGAGGTGTCCCCCCTCCTCTGCCTTGACTGAGACATTCCCCTACAGGGATCCTGTCCAGGCGTTTGCATCTGTGGGAACCTACAGTTTGATCTCAGAATATAGCTTCTACATGACCTACTTAGGACTGTTCTGCAAAGCATGCCATACATTCCTCAAAAGTCTTGGGTTTCAAGTGGTCAGTGGCATGGGAAGTGACCATGGAAAAATTACTGCTATGTCACTGAGCTAAGATAACTCCAGAGCTTTTGCTCAGTTTGAAATTTTAATCAAAATGATTTTGCTTGATCTAAAAGCACCTGATTCATTGCATTCTTGCATCCTTGGGCTGCTCAATAGTCAGGTAAAAATGAAGCGGTTGAGTCCTCAAATGGTATAAGATACTGAACCAGCGATTCTCATGCGTTTATTGTCCTACTTTGGACATCAAGGCCCAGAATGTCTAACTATTGGCCATACTGGGTGTTGGTTCTGGGAGCTCTTGTCTAAAATACTTGGAGAAGTAAAGATGGGGAGCCACTAGACTGAATCACATTAGCTATACAGGTATGCCCATATGGGGTGGATAAATGTTAATGACATTTTAATGCTTCTTTGTGCCCCTTCCCCAGTATTTAGCATTGCTGGCAGGGACTTGAGCTAGAACCTCTCCTTCTTCTGTGTTATTTTTAATATCAATAAACAAGTGTTTTAAAATGCTGGGGTGGGCTAAGTATTCCTCAGCTACGATCCACTCTACCACCTCATTTTGTAGGTGCATAGGATCTATCCCCAGGACAGAACTTTGCTGAATGAAAAAGAGATCTTTGTATTCTCTTTTACATCCAGCAGTATGAAAGACAGTGGCTGCAACCGTTTTTTTTTAGATACCGTGAAAAGAAAAGATACCAGTGTTTTTGTTACCCAGTTCAGGAGAGGGAAGAACTAAAGAGGAAGTGTAAAAAAAAGGCATGTTTCTTATTTGTCTGACAATGTTCAAAGCAGCTCAGCTGAACTGCTATCTTATCCTCAGTAGCTCTGGTGTCAGGGGAGTGGTGAATCCATTTTCTTCAACAGAGCTTTAAGCGAGCTATTCAAGATGTTCAAATTACTCTGAAAGTAGAATTCAGCACCTTGGACAGTTCTGAAGTGCTCAAGCTAGATATGTGATTTTTGGAATAGAGCTCCTAGAATTCTCCAAGCCCAGTGACATAGCCACATTGCTAGCAGAATTCTGGCAGTTGTTGTTAAAAAACACAAGCCTCCATACCTCTAGTTCAGACTGAAACCCAGAGTGGATTCACTGCTCTACTGACTTTGGAACCACCACTACCCAGACTCAGATTCATTAGAGGAAATTGGCATGTCTTCCCTAATATTAATTAGGAATTTACCTAAATTCTTCTGAAATGACTAGGAAGGCCTCAAGTTTTTCTGTCTTAGCCATTCCATCTGCTCCAAACCAAGAGCCTTTTCTTTTGCTCTCAAAGGAACTTACAGAACCATTCAATCCTATAGTAGTACAAATGATACTTGTGGATATAGAAATGATGGGGGAGGGGAAGTTTGCTAAGTGGCCAACCCTATAGATTATGGGGTGAAGTGTGGTGGATTCCTAGTGTCATCTTTGGAAATCTTGTTTCCCACCCCAGTATGACTATAGAGAGCCATCCATTTGCTGAAGCTGTGTGTGTGTGTAAAAACAAAAGGGCAAAGTCAGAGTTGTGAGGGAGCAACATTCACTGGGGATTCCCCCCCCCGCCTCAATTTCTGTTTCCTTTGAAATGTTGTTCAAATGAGTGAACAACATTTCAAAATCACAAAGGATGACCTAGGCTATTATCCTGATCCCCTGCTGGTGTCCTAGTTCCATCCAGCAACTGAATTTTGCCTCTGCAAGATTTTATCTCCATATCCTCCACTCAAATGAATGGAGCAAAGAGAGACATCAAACAACAACACTGTGAGACTTGCTTTCCTGACCACCTGGATTTTGAACACTTAACAACAACAACAAAAGAGTGGAAGCCTCATGCTTTGCTGGCCTTGTGTTGTCTTAACCTCCTAGGGTCAAATCCAGGCCAGGCTTGGCTGAACTCCTGCATCATTCCAGCACAGAAATCCATAATAGCAGCGGGAAATTGTAAGGACTACAGACCAGTCCTATTGGAGTGCAATTGCAAGGGTACAATCAGATCAGGCTTTCAGATTGCCTTGGAACACACTGGGGGGGGTATTGTTTTGCTGGGTGTTCTCTCTCTTAAAACAACCCTTTTGTGCACACAGGAATCACTCCAGCTGAGGTCCAAAAGAGAGTAAACTTGCTGCTGGACCAGAATGGCATGGATTAGGTGTGAAGCTGAGTTAGGTTGGTTCTCAATTTCCTGCATTTCACCAGAAAATAGTTCAAACTGGACTGTGCTACAAGTAATATAGAATTCAAGCTATATCTCCATCTGATCACACTCCAAATGTGTTCAGTAAAATTAGCTGTCATAAAAGGCTATGGCCACCCTGAACTGATTTCATATCCATTTTCATCTTCCAGGGAACTAAGAATTTCTAACAGAGAATTCTCTGCCTCCTCAACAAATGGTTATTCTCAAGATTCCTTACAGGATTTTCCAGAACAATTAAACAGGAATATCTGAATTCAAGATTCTATGGAAGAAATTAGACAAGGATATGGATATATTAAATGACTGACAAAAGAATTAGACCTGCTTATATTTAAATCATTTGACTCGGCCTCTTTGATTTTAGGAGGCTACTGTACATATGATGCAGGATCTGGTGATTTGTTTGCAAATTCTACCCAAATCTTGCACAGCAGTAGCAAATGTTTACCAGGGCTGCATTTGAGGGGCCCGCAGTGCAATGATAAATAACCTATGGTTGAAATCAGCATGAAATATTAAACTTCATGTCCTTTTGGAGAGCAAGGGTGTCATTTAAACACTTAGCAGAAGAAATCCACATTTTTTTCTTGCCCCTTGGTAACCAAGCTGATACCCAAATATCTACAGATGTTTTACTGGCTGTACAATTGCTAGAATGTTAATAAAGCATTAAAACCAGAGGGCTTTATAGCTTTGTTTCCAGATCAGACACTGAGTGACTGGCTGATATTTTTTACACCCTTCCCAGCACTGACTCTCCATATCATTAACACCCTGGGAACACTTCCCAGCACAGAATTAACACCAATTAAAAAAATCTATCCTTGGCATTTCTGCCTCCTCTTGCTAAAACAGAAAAGTGAATTAGAATACTGCCTTATCTTTATGAGCACAACCAAATGCAAGCACAAGGAAACATAGCCGACTTCATCAGGGGGGCAGAAGAATCTCTTCCTCCCAGCCATCAGTAAGTGGATAATTGTGCTGAAACTTAATCCTGGCATAAATCCACCCGCATACCCAATATATCAGGGCTACAATGGGAGCAATAAAGCTTTGGATGAAAGGTGTAAGAAGGCAGAAATTGCAAGCAAGTGGGAAGGGAGATGGAAACAGAGTAAGGATGATAAACTGGCAGATTGAGATGGGCTCTATCTGGCCCCAGAGACATCCTATTTGGCTTCTCCTACAGCAGACCTGGGCAAAATGTGTCCCTTCAAATGTTGCTGAACTGCAACTCCCAGCAGCCAATAGTGAGGAGTGTTGAGATTTGCAGTTCAACAACATCTGGAGGGTGGCAGTTTGCCCAGGTCTGTCCTACAGTCTCTAACTCTAGGGACTCCTTCCCCAGCTGGTAACATGAGAGCTGAGTGAAGCCGTCTGTTTGTACGTGGAATGGGACCAGCCCTTCTGAGCCCTTTTCCAGCAGATCCCACAGGTCTCGGCACTTTTCCTCAAGGCAGGTGAAATTCCCAAGCAGCTGTTGGAGGCTGGAATTTATCCCATTAGGCTTCAGAGAAGGGTGCCATGTTAAATTATTTTCCTAGCTGCCATCCTCCTCCTCCTCCTGATTGAACTCTATGTGCAGAGAGAGCACTTTTATCATGCTCTCAGAACTATACGGTAGCCATAGACAAATGGCCAGGCAGGAGATCCAGAATCCGGGTTCTTCTAAAACAAAATCTAGACCAAAGGTCTTTTATTGGAATTTTTGTAAAGAATAAAAGGCAAATTAAAAGATAAGCTTGATTGAATGGGAGGAAATTAAATGGTTGCAATAATATGAAACACAATGCAAGAAGCAGGCTTTTGGACACTGGCAGAGAAAATACATACAAGAAAACAAAACTGTGGTAAGAGCTGTGTTTCTCCTTTTCTCTCCTCCTGCACTTAACTTTCCCTGCTAGCACTCAGGCCAGCTACGTTCACTAGCCTAACTCCTTAAATGCCATTCTCAAGTCTATGCTCACTTAACTCCTGACTTCTAAGCGTAACACTTTTTCTACCTTCTAACATCAAAGTCAGTCTGTTCGCGAAGGCTTTCACGGCCGGGATCTAATGGTTGTTGTGGGTTTTCTGGGCTCTTTGGCCGTGTTCTGAAGGTTGTTCTTCCTGACATTTCGCCAGTCTCTGTGGCCGGCATCTTCAGAGAATAGGAGTCAGAACGCAGAACACAGAGTGCTACTCCAGTCCTCTGAAGATGCCAGCCACAGAGACTGGCAAAACGTTAGGAAGAACAACCTTCCGAACATGGTCAAAGAGCCAGAAAAACCCACAAAAATCACTCTCTGTTGTTTCATTTGTGAAATCTCCAGACCTGAGGTCTGGGCATGGCTCCTCTTTGATCTGAGACTTAATCCCTCTGATGACCCATTTCAACCCTGAATAGTTTCCTTCCCTGTTCAGGTGTGATGTTTGTCTGCTAGGACTGTACACCAGAGCTTCCTCCCAGGACCATTTGGCATATCTGCATATCACAACCTCTTGACAATGCTCCCAGCCAGCCAGGTTGTTTGCATGTTCTTTGTAATGTCTGATCTGGGACGTCCTTTTGCTGTCCATGAGAAATAACCTTCAGCTAAGACAAATCTTGATCCAGAAATTGAGGAATCAAATTATTTTTGTACATTTTGTGTGTTTGTGTACATCATACCCATTTTCCAAAAGTATGGATGTTCATCTGGGCAACCACACTGGCTCCCAACATATTCACCTCAAGCCAGTGCAGTAATTCTCCCAAGAACGGTTCCCTACCTCTGCGTTACAACAATCCTGCAAAGTTATTAAGAGGTGTTATTTGTTATTAAGAGGCTGCCACCTTGGGATGCTGATGTCAAGCAGAAAGGTGAGATATACATAATTATTCTAAATAAAATGAGTAGATATGTCATAACTGAGTATAATTCTGTGTGGGACCTCTGTATACATGCATGGCATGTCTATCTGTGCATGTTGGGAAAGTGGGCGGTGGGGAAGAATGGTAGCCTATATACATGACTTCTGGGTCACAAATGGCTGCTGCACATATAAATTTTGTTCCCAATTGCTCCCATTTAATTCCCTCTTTTAAAAAAAACCCACACTACCCACTCATTGAACTTGGGAGAACCATTTAAATCAGTATTACAATGGGAAAAAGTAGGACATCAGCAGGAACAGGAACCCACTGGGCTACTCCACACTTCCTAGAAGGTTGTCTGCCCACTATTTTCTGAACTGACTGCCTCAAAATATTTGGTGTAAGAATGAAATGTGCCTCCAATATTAATATAAGATGGGTGGATGTTTTGGAATTCCATTGTTTAAGAGTCATAATTCTAACTGTAATTATCACCACAATAGGAGGGTGTTAGATTACTGGTTCTCAAAAATGTAACATACCTTCATTAGATCTTCTCAGTGATCCCTTTTAAAGAGATTTATATATTGGTAATCATGAGTGGAGGGAAGCTTGATTCCCTCTTCAGGAGTACAACACTTGTTGGCTGGATCAATAGAAAGCAACGGCCAGCATCTTTTGCAGAAATATGGAGTGGAAGGACAACTGCATAAACAATGCCCCCACTCAGGCTAGACTTCCAATTGTATGACCAGCTGTGTGTCTGATCTCTCAAACAGTGTGAAACAGTCAAGTGGGATTTCCCTTTTGTTGTGGATGTCCCCAGTAGTATACTAGCCAACATATTGAGCCACTGATCTTTACCATTAAATACAGCTATCCTCTATTTAGATGTCACCTGGATTATACTCTGGTATAGCTCACAGAATATATGGGATGAAATGATGGGCCTCTGTGGCTGCAAAGTGTGCTGTAGCTCTCCAACCTACCAGTGTGTCTTGCCACAAGTGTAATGATCCATCTTTCAGCTCTTTCTATATATTTTTACATTTTGTTACTGTACGGTGCTAGCCAGACAAGGACCGTGCTGTGAGTGAGATGATGTTGCAATGCTATGTAACCAACCAGAATTGGCTATACATCATCATAAAGGAGAACAAAGATCATGGTCATCACACGATGATGACAAGGAAAAAGCTGGTGTTCCCTCAGTAGCAAGGTGAGTCTCCCCATATATCCTTTGTTGCAGTGGCTTCTAGCAAAGCCCAGGAAGAGAGGGAGGCTACATATTTGTAAATGAATGGTAGGGATGTGTTTCTTGATCCCACACAATGGGTGAACTCTTGTACTCAAGTTTTCCAAATTAAAGGGGAACTTTGCTTCACAATTCATATACAAAGCTGCAGAACTGGGGTGCGTGTTCCTCACTTCTAGTTTTAAAGCCTTTTCATCCGCCTCCATGATTCGTCTAGCTGACTTACATATGTAAATAGATCATCAAAAATCTAACCCTACAGATCCAACTTTTGAATTTCCTCAGATCACCTCAGACACAGTAATAGTACTTAAACAATCAGCAGAGCATGAGAAAACCTTCAGTATACAGCAGAGCTAGGACCAATATCTATGCTGCCTGTTGAATTCTGGGGGTTGTAGCAAAGAGAAAGGGTAATGCTTCCAAGCTCTGATAATGAGGCCATACATTCAGCTGCCAGTCCCTACCAGACTCATCTCACATAATTCAACTTTCTCCAAACACTGTTTTTTTTCTCTCTAAATAAAGCTAAGGTTCTACACCAGGACAAATATCTTTACTCATCAGTAGCTGGCACTAGATCTTAAAGTTTCAGCCTTTGCCCCTCCATTCCCTTTAAATTAACACTGCAGGTGGCAAGGGAGGAGATAAGAGAGGGGTAGAGTACAGTGCATTTGAGGATCAGATCACATAGTAAGGCAAATGGTAATTTCTTCCTCTTACAACACGATCCTTCCAGGAAGGCAAATCTCTCAGTGTCACATGGCTGGGACATCAAACATGAAAAAGACATTCTCTCCCAACTGACCAAACACAAAACAATAGCAAGCTGATCCGTGAAATGTGGACTAAGACACCCTCCTGTCTGAATAAACAGTCTTTTGCTCTGAAGTGCTCTGTTCCTAGATATGGAATCAGTGACTTGTTGAGTAAAACCTTTAAATAAGAAACACACATAGAATTTGAATTTTGGCTGGTTTTTAAAAAAAGCATACCATCAATGGCTACATTAAAAAGAAAAGGAAGCTTGAATGAGAGGGATGTTTAGGCTAGTGGACTGATGTTCAATTTATTTATTTTTATTTATTTATTATTGGATTTTTACTCCCGCCCTTCTAGACAGGAGTCTACTCAGGGCGGCTTACAATATATTACACACAAAACCAGACTTAAAAACAACAATTAAAATTTATAATAATAATATAATCAAGATGGGAGAGTGAACGGCAGAAACCAAGAAAAATAAAAATCAAGTATTGGCAGGAGGGAAGGCCTGTCTAAAGAGCCAAGTTTTTAATTGGCTCTTAAAAACACCCAGCAAGGGTGCCAGGCAGATCTCTGGTGGCCAACTATTCCAAAGTCGAGGGACACATGACAGGATATTGGGGGGCAAGCAGTGCATGTAGGAAGGGACTCAGTTAGTATTTTTTCAGAGATGCTGAGAGATGCTTCATCATGAGAAGGAAAACTGGTGAATGGTGGCTCTAGTAGCATTGATGAAGCAATCTGGGCAGACAAACCAGGGAATGACGGTATAGTGGGATTGAAATTCAGCACAGGTCCCTTTACAAACAGGCAAAAGTAAATGCTGAGTGTGGCCACAGCACATCCGATAAAAGGGTGTTTGGCCTGACAACTCACAACCCATTTGACTTCAATGTCCCTGCCTGCATTAAACATCGTGTGTGTTATATGCATGGGACAGATTAAGATACCTGGTCTATCAAAGACGCCCCAGGAATAAGATGCTGCATACACATCAAATGCAGAAGCAAATAGTCATGCTGTCACTCATTAACACTAATTCATCCACTGAATTGACTAGGTGGCATCATTTGTTGTGCACAGCTATGGATGAGATGGATGTGAGAATGTATGCATGCATTTGCATACCTACCGACAAATGATCATTATAGGAACAATCCTTTTGACTAATTTAGTTCTTAACAGCCTCATGCTCAAAACTAAGAAGACCTTTGGAGGACACCGTCACTATAAACTTGTCTGTGGATTTTTTTTTGAGCCCCATAATAAAAACAAAGAGCTATTTATAAACAACAATATGTGCTGTGCTACTAACCCACGGCTGTATCTTCAGAAAGGCTGAGGAGGGCCATGTTCCCGTTGGTACTGCTGGCGCCATTGTCAAAGAAGTAAGGAGCATAATTGGCTTGAACTGCAAATCAAAAAGAGAAGAAAACCCAGAAGCAAATAATCTGTAAATCACAAGCGGATGTAATCCTCACCTGCCTTTTCTGAGTACAAAGCAACAATCAAACCCCAACGGGAATAATCAGAGTTCATAACACATCCAGTTATGCTAATTGATCTCATCTACCTTTTAGAATATTGATGGGCACCTTAAAGATGTCTTGTACTATGTTCTTAACAATCCCAATGGCTATGAATTCATTAACATATTATAAACATGTATATATCTCTAAAGTGCAGAACAGGAGTTTAGGAACAACCCAGTATACATTCCAAACAGTTCCACTTGTTCAGTTAACAGTCATAAAATGCTCTCTTACTGTATATCCCTGCCATACATTTTGATTAACTCATTCGACCTCCAGGCAATCCCTAACTAATCTAAACAATATTCTAAACATGTTGAATATTTTTAAAATATATATTTTATACAGGGATGCCTATCAAGAAGCCGTAATGAAATAATTACTTACTTGCTGCAAGAGAACAGCAAAGTTCACAGAAAATAAAAAAAATAAAAAATAAAATTAGTTACATTCTAATCACAGATCAGGTTTTTTAAAAAAAGATCAGCCCATTTGAAGCTGCCAATATGCAAACAGGGGAAGGGGATCATGAAGGGAGGGGATGTTACAAGTAATGTTTATACAGTTATTGGAGAAAAAGTTGCAAGGCCGCATTACCAAAGATTACTACAAAAGCTTAAGCGTATTGCTTCTGTTGTACTATTAGTAGCTGAGGGGGGTTGATGTACTTACCCAGGCAAATATGCATCAAATTGAGAAATAAAGGTGGGGGAAGGTGCCACATTTGGTTCATCTCACCAAAGTGAAGGTCCGTTTCTTCTTACTTCAAGAAAATGGGGGAGGGAGAAAGGTTCCAGAACCCCAGCAAAAGTTGTCCTTCAGACCTGTGTGGTGAGGAGCTGCGCATGAAGAGGCAGGAACAGATGTTAAGATGTTAAGTGGATGACATCTGAGGAATTTAAAGGCGCTCCTTCCTTCCACCTAATTAGACCAATTACTTTGCAGGGAGCTGTGGGACTCATTTCTGAGAGAGAGAGAGAGAGAGAGAGAGAGAGCTGGAAGGAAGCAGCATTGCTCTCTGCTGGGGTTTCTCTTGATTGTACTAAGCTTATATCGCCTGACTAAACACCCTCAAGATCTGGGGAAAACAAGGTAATATGAAGATTTCAACATTTCTCTTCTTCTTCATCCTCCTCCTCAATGCCATTTTCTTCTTTTCTCTCCTCAGAAATGAAAAATTTCAGCTAATTGCCACCGCGGCTCTACACATAGTTTTATGTTCCTCGAAACACTTAAGAAACAAATTCTCAAATGTACGCCAACTTCCTGCAAATTTACAGAATGAGCATGTAACATTTTTCATCATTGGGGAATCAGTGCATGAAATACTGAAGTCAATGTATTGAAGAGAAACCAATCAAATGTTCATTTACCTAGAGGGTTGTTTTTCTTATTTTATTTTATTATGTATTCAAGGTTGACTTTCTATATGTTTTTAATGCTTCAGTAAAAAGTCAACAAATTTTACAACCAACACAGATAGCTTCCCTTAAGTAATTACACAGGGATTCTAATTGCATTTTTTTGTTTTATAGATTTAAAACTGGAGAGAATTTAAAATATGCTTTTGAAGGACTAAAGTAACAGAGTTCATTCAAACAAAGAAAAAAAATCCAAAAAGCATATTTTTAAGTTTTACCTACAGCTTGCAAAACAAAGTCTAATACATGATAGTTAATTGTTGTCTTTTTAAAATCGCACATATTTATAATCTGATTGTGGGCATAAATTGCCTACTGATTGTGGGCATAAATTGGGCTCTCTAGATCTGGATTCACATGATAACCCAACAAAACATGAACATAGAAATTGCATTTAACCAGACTAATGCCATGTATTCTTTTCTATTTCCCTAGATTTCCAATTAAATTATGTTTACCAAGGACAAATTGATTTTTTTCCTGTTTGCTTTCAATTTTCCCAACACATATGTTACATTGGAACAGAACCAGCAAAATATTACAATCTGAGTCCAAGCTATTAAAGTCCGTAGTCACGATGCTGGAAAAAAACCTACCATCTCAAACGTCCCCTTCAGAGAGTTTTATATCTCCTCCATGTTTAAGAAGAATTTTGGTCAGTCACCCTATGATTATGCAGAGCCTTCAGACTTTCATAAATCTGCCAATATTTAGTATCAATTTTCTGGACTATAGTAACCATTCAGCCTTTTGTTTTTATGGTTATTACCTATAGGAAGAAAATGGAACCTTCAAATTCAGATGTAGTAAATCCTTAAAGGTTGCATACTGAAGACAAAAAAAGTTAGAGGAATCCATAATTTTTTTTTTTA